ATAGTTTCTGGTCTTACATTTAGATCTTTAATCCATTTTGAGTTTATTTTTGTGTATGGTGTTAGAAAGTGTTCTAGTTTCATTCTTTTACAAGTGGTTGACCAGTTTTCCCAGCACCACTTGTTAAAGAGGTTGTCTTTTTTCCATTGTATATCCTTGCCTCCTTTGTCGAAGGTAAGATGTTTGCAGAGACATTTTAAGTTTCTGTCAAATTGTATCTGGTAGCTGTTCTTAGAGACTCATTCATAACTAGACTCATAAAACAGGAAAGAAAGAAAGAAAATGGCTAAATTCGTCACAATTTGTAATGTGTGATTGTGAAGGAATTTTACTACTGAAAATTTTAAATTTGGTTAGATTGTAGTAAGGAAAAGAGATGATAGGGCTTATGGTAGAATATACATTTCTTGAGTGACAAAGAATAATAATACCTCCTGAACACTTGTTAGAATTAAATGATGTTATTATATATAAAAGCTTTTTGAAAATTGCAGTACATTATGCAGATTTTCATTTTATGCAAAAATAGTTATATGGAAGTACTTACAGCCAAATTAAGTTTTTATCCTGTCTAAATCCATCATGTATGTATCTAGAATAGTTGATTTATAAGTAGCTCTGAATTCTCTAGTCAGAAATAGAAACCATTTGCATATTTGAAATCTGTATATTATCCAGATCTTTTGAAAGATTTTACTTGTAATATCTTTTCTTTTCGTAATATGTACTCCCTTTCCCATCTGGTACTTAGAAAGCATGCATAATATTCAAATTTTATATAATAAACATGTAAATAATTGCTCATATCTTTTAAAAGTAACTTAAAAAATGATATTATGACTTCATGTCTTTAATTCTTTAGTACCAACAAAAGCAAGACCAAGATGTTAAGCAAGTTGAACACAAGCCAGTTCAAAGTCATTTAATACGTGTAAGAAATAAATCTGATATTTCACTTTCACAGCAGCAAGGTAAGATTAGTTTTCTTGTAATAGTAGTTTTATACTTGTGATACTGAACAAATACATAATGAGAATTCTTTATATGTCTTATTATCTCTAGGGTTTTGTTATTGTTTTTTCACATTTAGTCCATTGGGATTAAGACTCTCATCCTGTATTTGAATATATATTTGTTAGTTCTTTTGATCAGTAAATACTATTTCTAATAGATTTTAAAAACTCTTAGGTAGTATTTTTCTTTTAATCTTATTTTTTGTTTCTTGTACAATTGAATGACAGTATCTGTTTTTCTATGTAAAAGTCTGTATCATAGTTGTCTGTTTTAAATTATGATAAAGGCAGCAGTTATGGATATTTAGGAACTTTGTAAAGGCTGTTTATATTGTGTGGTGATTTGATTAACAGGTACAACTTATAAAACAAAGGACTCTCATGTTAAATGCTATCATATGGATGAACTTTTCTTTATTGTTTGATTTACAAAATGATGTATTCTATACCCAGTATCACAGCATTTTGATGTCATCTTTATGTTTCTGCACGGTTGCTTTGTTTGCCTTCTTGCTTCTTAGTCATTTAAATTTTATATAACTTAAATTCTGAAATGTGGCAGTAGAAATTAAGATGTCTTTTGTTTAAAAATTCTTCTATCTGCAAAAGTGTTAGGAGTATTTTGAGCAGTAGAATTTTTTTTTGCTTTTGTGTTTGTGTTTTTTTTAGCTTATGTATTGAATGCCAGTCTAATTGCAAAGGTAACAGCATTTGGCATTTTGGGGAAGATCTAAATGAAAAAAGAGCTTAAGATTATGTTATTTATGTTTTTACTTTTCTGTTTGTTTTCTCTTCCTTTCTTGCTCCAGCTTTTCAGAACTTTGCCCTCCTGACCACTTTTTAAAACTTAACAATGGTACAGTAATGTTAGTTATTATGTTGATATTATATTTTAGAACCCTATGGAAAATTGCCTGTAAAACTTTCCTCATTGTATTAAATCATGACTATGTAGATATGAGCAAAGGAATATGTCTAAAATAGTATCAGGACTGCCTTGATGTCCTACTGAATTCTGTTACCACTCATGGCCAATGACTGTATATTTAATTTAGTTTTCTAAAAAAATACATAATTTCTTAAATGTATAAATGAATTTTATCTCCTTGGAGAAGGTTGTATGTAATAAAACGATCATTTTTCTCAGCTGATAAGGAAAATATATTTGGGAATATTTTAAAGGTAAATCTCTTTAGGAAAGTGACAATGTTTTCAGTTTCATGTATATGAATGGCCACAAGATGGCAATATTTAAATTTTTGTTGACAACAGTGTCATTAAATAATGTCCAATTAACATTTAATGTCAATCAAAATAATAAAATAAAAATAAAAGAAGCCAGTGTGTTAGCTAGTGATGCAGTTTTATTTAGAAAGAATTTAGAATCATTGGATTTAATATCTGTAAAAATTATTTTCATTTAATTTTACATCTAATACAAAGAATCCGCCTGCAATGCAGGAGACCCAGTTTGATTCCTGGGTCGGGAAGATTCCCTGGAGAAGAAGTAGGCTACCCACTCCAGTATTCATGGGCGTCCCTGGTAGCTCAGACGGTAAGGAATCCACCTGCAATGCAGGAAAGCTGGGTTCCATTCCTGTGTTGGGAAGATCCCCCTGGAGGAGGGCATGGCAACCCACTCCAGTGTTCTTGCCTGGAGAACCCCCATGGACAGAGGAGCCTGGTGGGCTACAGTCCATGGGCCACAAAGAGTCAGATGCAACTGAGTGACTAAGCACAGTTACAGTATAATACAGAAGTTAGGGGAGCAGGCCTATGTCAGCTTTAACCAAGACAAATAAATACCCAGTGGGCTATAGATAGAACATTTCAAATAGGAGCCGAGTGTTTCACTCTCTAATTGATATAGATCTCCCTACTAAATATTTTTTGAATGAATATGATTCCTTTGGCAATAGTCAGTTGCAACTTTTTTTCCCCATAAATTTTGTGGGTTTTTTCCTCTGATAAAACTCTGTTACGTTGCCAAATGTTTCAGAGACTAGGAAAGTCAGAGTGCCAAAATAATCCTCTAGGGCTTTCAGGACTTTGACTGACCTTGAAGGAATTCAATCCTATCTTTCATACACAAAGAGTCTTGAAGATAATGAAGGAAATTCACCTTATCACAAGGGAATCAAAACCACATCTTTTCTGAAAGATAAATTCTTCTAGGAATACTTGAACCCAAAATTATGGCTATTTCAGAAAGAAGTATCATGCATTTCACTTCGAAATGTATAGTAGTTGTGTGTGTGTGTGTGTGTGTGTGTGTGTGTATCAAGAAACCAAGCCAAAAAAAAAGAAAAAGAAATCAAACCATTTACTAGCAATAATGGTCATTTTTCAGTGATCATCCATTAAAAATTGACTGAAGATAATGGTAGAACAGATTCTAGCATTAAGCTTCTGGGAAATCTGTAAAGACAAGCTTTCTCCTCTCCCCTGGATTATTACTTTCAGATTTTAACACAAAAGAGAAAAATTGAATTGAGTTCTGAAAGATGGTATCTTTGGAGTCTAAAACTTTTGGCATTGAATTCATTGAATGTATTTTTGATCACATGATATCACTTATCTGATTCTAAGCCCTGATTAATTATCTAACAGTTTTATAGTGAAAGCAACTTTTTAATAATTTAACAACTCATTTTTTCCCCTTTCACTGTGCAACTTAGCTTTTCTCAGTACAAATGAAGTATTTGTATTTAAATTCATGTATTTGTTATGAACCCAGGAACAATTAAATTCTATTGTGATGTATTAAAATAGTCCACTTTAAAAAATATTTTTCTTTAGTTTTTCTCTTAAAATTTTAAGAACTTCATAGTAAATAATAAATTAGAAAGTCAAACATGCTTTACTAGAATCAATGGGAAAAAATTAGAGTATATGTTTTGTGGTTAAATAGTTGTCAAAGGTGTTTAAAATTACAGCCTTCTTCAGTTTTCTTATTTATAAATGATATATGTTGCTCCGAAAATATGTATCAAAGTGCTAAAAGTAATTAATGTAATTACAATAACTTATCAAAATCTGGTTACTTTTTTGTGGGAAATCACAGATAGATTTCTTTTTTTTACGTTATGTATTGAATTGGGTTTCCCTCGTGGTAAAGAATCTGCCAGCAGTGCAGGAGACTTGGATTCCACCCCTGCCTTGGGAAGATCCTTTGGGAGTGGCAACCCACTCCAGTATTCTTGCCTGGAGAATTCCACGGGCAGAGGAGCCTGGCAAACTACAGGCCATGGGGTCGCAAAGAGTCGGCTCAATGGATATGAGTTTGAGCAAACTCCAGGAGATAGTGAAGGACAGAGAAGCTTGGCATGCTATAGCCCATGGGGTCGCAAAGAATCAGACGTGACTTAGCAACTGAGCAACACCAACAAATGTCTTGAATTTAATTCCTTTACATGTTAGCACCTTTTATACCTCACTACAGTGATTGTAACTTCAGATATGTGAGAATTAGGAAATTCAAAGCTTACATATATTTGGAAGCTATTTCTAACCACATGTGCAAATGAAAATTTTTGCCTTTGTATTTGAAATATAGTTAAGTTACAATAGATCTCAGAATTACAATTGATTTTAGTAATTTTAAAATCACAGTTAAAAGTTTAATTGATTTTTTTTCTCATAAGGTATGACAGTAATTTAAAAACCATGTGTGTAGATCTCTGATAGGGTTCCTGGAAGAAGGGGCACAGACTAACAAGTCTGCCCCAAATCTATGTAACCAAATGTTTAACAAGCATAATCTGAGTAAATGTGTTTTTTATAAATCCGTGCTATTACTGATTAATAAAACAGAAATTCACTTTAAAATGTTGCTGAATGTGGGGTTTCTGTCTCCCCCGAGGAGGAGGAAGGTGGAGAGTGTCACTTCTAACTATAATAAAATTTCAGATGAACTATAAAATCATAGCATTTCTTGAACCAATCAGATATTTTATAATGTAGAGCAAGTAGCTTAAAGTCCACAGAAAGGCAGACTTCTCCAGAGACGGGACACAGGAACTGTGCCACAACATAGCACCAGACAAGCAGATAAAGACGTGTTTGACTTTTCTTTAATGAATTACTAAAGGCCAAGCATGAGCCATTGGTAGCTACTGATATAAAAGTAGTTCACTCCTACTTGGAATCTCTTCTCCACAGACTTCTGGAAAAAGAAAGAATGGGAGCTCGGACAGGAGACTGGAGAGATTCTCATTCACTGATACAGTCTTTGAAGAGTAACTCCCACTGACAGCAAAATGGGAGAACTCGTTCCAGCATAACCCTGATACCAAAACCAGGCAAAGACTTTACTGGAAAAGAAGATTATAAACCAGTATCCCTCATGACCATAGACAAAAAGTTCCTCTACAGAATACTGCCAAATTGAACTGACGCTTTTTTCTTCAGCATTCAGCTGCATTTTCTCGAGTTCTTTCTGAACCTGCAGTTGAAAACGCCTTCAGTTCGGTTCAGTTCAGTCACTCAGTCATGTCTGATTCTTTCAGACCCCGTGGACTGCAGCACGCCAGGCTTCCCTGCCCTTCACCATCTCCCGAAGCTTTCTCAAACTCATGTCCAGTGAGTTGGTGATGCCATCCAAAAATGTCTTATTTATCCTTAACTCCATCCTCCAGATCTTGGGCGCCCTGAACGTAATCTTTTTTTTTTTTAATTTTATGTAGTTATCGTTGACTGTGCTGGCTCTTCGTCGCTTGTCAGGTTTCTCTGTATTTGCGGCGAGCGGGGCTCCTCTAGGTACAGCGCGTGGGCTTTCCATGTGGTGGCTTCTCTCGAGGGCACGCGGGCTTCAGTGGTTGCAGCTCCCGCTCTGGAGCGCAGGCTCAGTAATGCGGTGCACGTGCTTGGCTGCTCGGCGGCATGTGGGGTTTTCCCGCATCAGGGATCAAACCCACGTCTCCTGTATTGGCAGGAGGCGTCTTCACCACTGAAGCACT